GGGACGTGAACAGGCGACCTTCTAGCTGTGAGGCGACGGTACTAACCACCGAGCCACCGTGCAGCCCTCAAACACATCATAAATGCTCAAAATTGCTCTAAAAATAAAAACAGACAGGTCTTGCAGTGGTGCTGAGGACCACTTTAGGAACACTTTCACAGGTTAAACATGTCATATTTTCACACCGATCTCTCTGTTGATCTCCACGCTGAAGACGTCCTGAGGCCGAGGGCAGGTGAACTCCACTGAGGTGTTGCGAGTATCAGTCAGCTGCAGATATCTTGGGTTGCATTTCTGGTTGGGCGGCGGGTCCACGCAAACGCTGCAGTCCGGATCCTCCCCAACCCGGCTGATGGTGATGATTGTGTCGGGGTCGGGGGTCACTGACATCATCCTGGCACCTGGAGTGGAAAGTTGCATAACATATTTCTTTAATACTAGACAACACTATAAAACATACAGCAAATGCAACAGTAAGGAAATACTTTTACGGATGCAAAATTCCATGTGACCAGATTTGTTACACAGTTTTTAGCCAAACTAGCTAAAAAATGTTGATCATCATCTCATATCTGCGACACTAAACACATTTCTGTCACTACCAGCAGTGCTTTAAACAAACACTCGTGTAAGAACACATCACACAATCCGTGGCTAAACTAAGAAGATTAAACTCATACCTGCTGAGTCCGTTAGCATGCTATACTCAGTGTTAGCTGCTGTAACTATACACCAGAAGTGAGCGATTTCACTTAAATGTCAAATGATTCATAGCTGTGTCACCTTACAGTAGCTGCATTATGTCTAAGTTGAACCGCAGAGTATTTTCTCTGATGTAGAATTAAAAACTAACAGTTCAGCTATATTAAAAACACAGGCCAATGCTACAGAAGTCCTGGAGATGTTCTGCCTTTCGTTAGACACTATTTTCTCCAGTACATGTTGCCCTTCTCTTCAAAACACCCCCAAACAGGTTCTGCTGGATTCGAGTCGGGCGACACACTAGACCAGGTCACAGTTTGACCTTTTCCTTCTTTAGAAACTTTCAAGTCGTTTTGCACGTTCAATCGTTTTCAGTCAAATTCCTTTCCTGCCAAACTTCTGCAGCCCGGGAATCATCCTGTCAGACAGTATTTTGGTAAATAAACAGGTGTTAAATATCATCTCTCCAAGACCTTTTGGACACTCGCAGCCCATATCATCAGTTTCATCTCCTCCTCCACCCAGCAATCACCACACCTGGCTATAAAAGCAACCAGCAAGCTTTCAGTCGGGGCTGGTTGGGCTTTAGAGAGTGAACAGTCCGTCTGTTACATCCAGCTGACCCTAGAGGCTGGGTCGTACCATTCAGTCAGACTTATTTACAGTCTTTTTTTATGCTGCACATGTCCAATCAAACTAAAAGTAATGACATTTAAGGTTCAGGGATGTAGCTGTGTCTGTAGAAGACATATGTGCACTATGAGGAATATTCTTATTTAAAAAGGGGTAACATCTGTTTATTAGTGATGTGAGTTTATCTTTTGTTTGATAAATGTTTTAATCCTGCAGAATTCACACATGCATGTATGCATTCATACATGTTTCTCTAAGAAAACATAGGAACCGGTTCTTGCCTCTCGGTGCTGCTTTGAAGTTAAATGCCGTCGGGTCCAGATCTCCTCCTTTGGGCACCTCAGCGGTCACGGTCGCCGGTCCGGGCAGATTCAAATGAGACACGGCGCCGCCTCTGCAGTAGCTATTGGCTTTGATTGTTCCATCGCCTTTAGTCGTACTCACTGAGTACCGATAGCCGTCCTGGCAATCTTCCGCCGCAGAAACATCCTTCAGCCCGCCAGAGGGAAAGTCCAGCGTTAACACCGTCCTCTCTGGGACGCTGATGTCCCACGTCAGAGACCTTCTGAAGTCCTTGAACAGCTCCGGATCAACTTGTGCTGCAGCAGGACTGCAGGAGCTCTGAGTGCACGCTGAGAAAAGAAAGTAATGAACGTTCGAGCACCACAGAGAGCCAAGAAAAGAGCTCTGACCTCCAGCATCAGGGCTACGGAGGACGAAAAATCAGTCATTCATCCAAGAGACTATGTGAAGGAAGCAGTTTAACTAAATAAATCTAATTAATACATGCTATTAAATAAATAAAACCAGAAATATCAGAATAAAAAGTTTTAGAAATACACAAAAATAAAAACAATAGATCATTAATTACTACATTTCAACTTGCATTCAGTTTTTATTTCTAAAAATTTCTATTATTAACAGCTTATATTAAAACTGATTAGTTATTGGAATATTTATGTGTTCATTTATGTCTGTCAACATTTATCTATTTCACCATTTACTGATGAACACAGTTAAATTAGAAAACGTACAGGTAAATTAAACTCTCTCACCTATTTTCTTCTCCATCTTCACGCTGAACGTGTCCTCTGGTTTCAGGCAGCTGAACTCCAGTGAACTCTCACCGTTGGCCAGAGACTTTTCTTCGGCGCTGCAGGAGCGAGTTGAGCCGTCAACGGTGCAAACTTCACACTCTGGCGAAGCCGCGTCTCGGCTGAGGACCACCATCGTGCCGGGATCCACCGTCACCACCATTGTTCGGCCCTCTAGAGAGAATAAAACACAGAGTGAGGCAGGAGCAGGTTGGAATTCACCAGCTGGTAGGAAACCAACCGTTAAGTTTGTATGGAGGCTTTCAAAGGGTCTTATTCAATAGAGTGCACCAATAAAACCTGAAAAAAAATATTTGCTTTCTTGCTGAGAGTTGAATCAAAAGCTTAATTTTAAAACACATTTGTGCAGTTTGGAGAGAAATGTTATGGTTTTTTGTTATTATTTATTATTTTTTTATTATTATTTTTAATTATTTATTTATTTTTATTTATTTATTTTTTAACATTTATTTTCCATTTTTATTTTTTGTAATGGCGCTTTTAAAGCAAAGGAAACATTCTAAAAATATATATAAAAATGAAACAATAAAAAATTCAAATAAAAAAAAATAATTAAAAAATACATTAATTAAAATTTAATACAAAATGTATATTATTATTTATTTGTCTTTATATTTCTACTTTTATTAGACTTTCTTTTATGATTAATTTTTGATTTATATTGCCACACTAACTATTTTTTATTTGATTTATTCCTCTTTTTATTTCCACTTTTATTTTACTATTCTTTTATTGATTTATTTTTGAAATTCGGCGCTCTCGCTACTTCACAGGTTTGTGCGGCTCATCCCGTTTTAATTTGCTGATTAGTATTCACTCAGTGAACACTTCAGAACTCGGCTGGTTTGAATTCAGCAACATTCTTACTTTGAACCCTTTTTTAGAGTCAGTATTCAGGTTCTTACTCTGTGGTGTGGCCTGAAACAACATCGGCACCACCTGAGCGTTTGGTGGAACTCGCAGAGATACGGCGGTCTCACTCGGCAGATCCAACCGAGTCACAGAACCGCCTCGACAGTACTGGGTCGAGCTTTGGGCGTCGGTCTTGGAAGCAACCACCGAATACTGAAATCCGTCGGGGCACTGCTGCGACGTCTCTGTCAGTCCGTCCCCGGTGACGTCCAGACCCACGACCGTCTTCTCGGGCGCCTTCAGCTCAAAGGTGAAGGTTCTGCTGAGCTCGGTCAGGATGGATGGCTGGCTTTGTAGTACTGAGGGGCTGCAGGCATCCTTGGTGCATTCTGGATTTGAAATAGAGGCAAAGGGAGATGAAATGATTGGATTAACATGTTAACCTTTGGTGCTCATCTATTGATTAAGCCTTGATCTGATATGAATGATAAATAACCAACTTCAGACCCAGACGGAAGGAAATATAATAACTGAGCTCAAACTAACAGATAATAATGGGGGTTCACATGTGTTAAAGTTTCATATTTTTGTCTTAGGCATTGCTACAAAACAGAAGAGTAGCACATCCAGTGTAGAAGTAAATGGGAAAGAGAAAATGTTTTGTGCTGCTTAAAATGTGGAAGTAAGTTGCGAACACAGTATTTCAGCTGTGTTGAGTTTCTGCAAGGTGGAAGTCCAAAATTCTCTGTTTTTAGTCGATACCAGCTCCTGATGTCTGGTTCTGTAGCTCATAAATGCTCCAACACTTTCACCAGCTAGTTTCTGTGTCAGTCTGCTCTGTGCTGTGGAGAAAATGGTGCAAAGAGGGAACTTAGAGCTTTTTTTTTTTTTAGCTGATAACAGCTGCAGCAACAACCGATATCAGTAAAGCTAGACGAATACTCGATGAGCTGAATAAAAGGGGAGAGGAGCTGCAGACTCAGGTAATAATTTTCTTTGTTATTTCTCATATTGTTTTTCAAGAATATGGATTAAAACAGCTAAACTCTAGAGTGTAATCTTTCAGAATTAGTCAGAAACGTGACAGTAACGAGGAGGTTTGTTTTGCATCATGATAGACTTAAATCAGGACGTCCTGTTATGAATCAAAAACAGTTCTAAAATGCAAGTTGAGCCGACTTCCAGGACGTCACCCAGCTGACTACTGGAAGCTACTGATGGATGCTCGAGCAACATAAGACAAATGACAGTCAGAGCGAACATCATAGCTGCTAACTGAGCTAATCGGCTGTAGCTCAAAAGAAGCACTGACTTGTACTGGAAGGGTACCGATAAGAGTCCAGATACTGATGGTCCAAATAAGCTCGCTATGCACCACTCGGTGAGGAAGGACTATAATCTACATGTAGAAACACAAAAATGAAGTAAAACATTTTTTATTTGGTGTATAAAACGACCAGTCTTTGTACATTTCAGAGCAGATGTGTTTTTCGGCAGCAGATCCTAAAAGCTCCAGTTAAAAGCAACTCGACTTCCCTTTCAGGTTCTTGATGATGTTTCACCTCTTGTTCAAGGGTTTCTTTAGTTCTGACCGATGATATGGAGTCCCAGATGTCATGTCTGTGAAGATTCTCAGTCATCCAGGTGGTGGTTGTTCTCAAAGATTCATCGTAGCAACTGGACTTGCAGGTTGCATAACGAGGGGGAGAAGCAACAAACCCCCAATTAAAACCCAAACTCAGGTGTTCCCAACTAGTCAGTCAGAGCTGATGAAGCCTCTTGGATGAGAGGTGGAACGTCTTCAAGGAACTCAAGCAGGTCCAGTTGCTACCATTAATCTACGAGAAGTCCTAGATACCTATTCTCATGCCTAAATCACAAGACTAATGAACCAACAACAACTTACACACCAATGATTGTGAAAATTCCAGCTAAGAGATGATTCAAAGTGTTGAGTATGGTGAAATTTTCTGGTGATACATCTCCAGACCTGGTTCGTGGTTTTGTAAACCAGCTGCTCTGTTTAGAAATGGTTTCCTTCATTCCTTTCTCAAACCATCTGTCTTCTCCATCCAGAACGTGGACATTTCTGTCCTCAGAAGAGCCCTTCAGATACAGATGGACTGCTGCTCTTCTGTGGTGAACCTGAGTCATCCCTCATCTGCAGTTTCACAATCATTCACACCTTGATAAATCCAGAGCTATTAACGGTGATTTGATGAATTATATTTCTGGGGCTCCACATCAGTCAGTTAGAGCCGAAAAAGCCTCTCGGATTAAGGTTAAAGGTACTTAAGAACAAACCTTGAAGTGAAGCTCTTTGGATTATCAAGAGCTGGATGACTGAGAACCTAAACATGGCATCCAGTAAGAATCCAGCTCCTGAAAAACTCTGTTGAAACTTTGCCACATTTAAACTAGACAGTAACTCATAAACATACCAATAATCAGTCCTGTATTTACTGTATTTACATATCATGGAGCCGCCGGTAAACTCACCGATCATGCTGGTAATCGTCACCGTGTACGACTGACCAATAGGCTGCGAGCAGTTCAGCAGCAGCTTGACTTCCTGTTCAGGTACCAGAGAGAGAGATGGCTGGCAGGACGTCTGGGTGTCGTTCACCCCGCCGACCGTGCACACCGGACACTGATCCGACGACCCGGACACCGTCACGGTCCGGTCTTTGTCCGGTCGCACCGCCGTCTGCAGGATTTCTGAGGAGACACATCAAACATGGTTGCTAAGGAGATAAGCAAATACACGGCTCCAGTTACATCAGTTCCATTGTCCATACATCCATTCCATCAGCTCCACGACTACTGGACAGGGAGTCTGCATGTTCTCCCCGTGCAGCGTGGGTTCTCTCCGGGTTCTCCAGCTTCCTCCCACAGTCCAGCAACATGCTGAGGTTAATTGGTGATCCATCGTACACACTCATGTTCACCGGATAAATCTAATCGATCTACATCATCTGTTCCCTCCAGAGCCACCATTACATCAAAATCCATCCTTTTTAATCTATTTATTATGAACAGATACCTTCCAACCTTCCAACCTATTGACACACTTCAGAAACGAGCCCAGATTGCTGTCGACACTCGTGTCAACACGGCGGCTCCAGACACACCCATCGCCGTGGAGCACCGACCACAACGTATTAATTGTCATCATGAGTCACCCGCTGAGGGAAGCGAACCAGTTTTACGAAGCACATGGATCTTCTGGGACTCTCCCACGGTCAATTCAACTCCTGCCATTGGTGAACTTTACACTTTGGAAACCACAGATGAAACAGGTGTCGCTGCCTTTTCTGTAACTTCACACAGCGGCAGCCATGGAGCGACTCGGGTTCAGTTTGTTTCAGTCACAGATGTGGATTCAGTCACGTCTACGGGAGCACTTTGAGGACAAACGTTGGACGTATCATATATGTTACATGTTGTTGATTTTGCCATACACTTACTGAGCACTTGATTAGAAACCTGACTGATATCAGGTCCCTTTACTCTGAAACAGCTCCAGTTTTTAGGGTCGTGGACAGCACCAGATGTTGGAAATGCTCCACTGGGCTTCATGCTGACATCATCTCTACAGAAATGTTCATAGAGCAAATTTCCAACATTTGTAAGATGTTCTACTGGCTGTGCATCATCATGTTTATGAAGTAACTCTGGGAGGACTTTAGCTCTGTGATCTGGTGCGTCGTCATGCTGGAATTAGCCAGGACAAGATCTGTGTCATGAAGGGATGCACGTGAACCAGCATCAGCTCTTGGACAGGCTGTGGCATTCAGATCATGATTTATTAGGACTGACGGGCTCAAAGTGAGCTAAGAAGACATGGATCAGAGCGTTATGCAACAAGCACAAGACATGACGAGTCAACAGATTCATGCTGCTGTTGCTAAATTCTGACTTTATCATTTCTACGCTGCGTCAGAAAAATCAGGATTCATGAGATCTGGCGACACCTCTAGCTGTCCTGTTCGATGAGTGTGTGCCTTCTGTGTCATTAGACTTCTGTTAAAGTGAAACCCCTCGTGGTCCTCTTCTTCTGAGATGCTTCTGTGCTCACAGCGGTTACAGAAAGTGATTATCTGAGCTGGAACTGGCCTCTCTGACCCTCCTCATCAGCAGCAAGACGCTTCTGGCTGCAGAACTGCCCGCCACTGGGCGCTAAACTCAGGAGACGTTACAGATCCCGGGAGAGCAGCATCATGGTCACGGTTTTTCCCATTAACTGAACATTAACGAACATTAGCTCAAGCTCCTGACCTGGGCTGCACTGCTGCCACGTGATTGGCTGATTGAGTAATTGCATGAATAAACAAGTGTGCAGGTGTTGCTAACGAATTGCTCAATGAGTGCATATGCTACACATAACGAACACTATCCTGACAACAAATGACCACCACAGAATATTATCAAGATGACGACACACCAGGGGAATAAAAGGTCAGATGTCTCCCAACATATCATTAAAACATAAACGAAGCGCTGCGGTGCAACCTACAAATTATATCCTCCAGACGTATGGGAACATGTTTGATTGGCCCAGAGCACCAGCATCACTTCTGTATTTGCTTCAACGACTAAAACAAGCAAAAATCTCACTAAAATCATGACTCATCTCACACATGCTCATAAACAAACTGGAAACAGTCAGTCAGCGACACAGACAAACATTTACTGCCCTGCTCTTCATATTTCCCATATTCTTCTTCTTCTCATCTCTCTTCTTTAAATCTTTTATTTATGCTTTATATAAAACCCTGCTCGTCCCATTTTCTACTTTATCGCCGCAATACATCAGTTCACATGAACTTTAAAAAAAAAAACTGCCCCAGTTAGTCACATACTCTTCTATTCTGAATGAAACACATGAAACGTTGGTCTGGTTCAGCTCCACAGTTTGCAATAATTACCCAGAAACCCACACAATCTGAGATTTAAATAAAAAGTAAAGCCATAAAACACACTCATGGGACTCCTCTCTAAACTAAAGGACACTCTCAAAGCTGCCAAACAGCTCCTTCGGTGTTGAATGAAAACACTCTGAGGCTGTGAACATGAAACAGAAAGAAGGAATCCTCAGTGTGAACCTGCAAGAACCTGAAAGCAGCAACAAAGCAGCAGTTGGACAGAATGTAGGCTTCAGTGAACAGTGGAGGATGGTCCAAACACATATCTGTGTGCAAAACAGATTCAGTTTCCGCAAACATCATTAAAAAAGGCTTTTAAAATCCGCAGAGCTGCTGCTGATGGGTCCCCAGGAATGAATTAAAGTCAGTGGAAGAGAGAAGAAAGCAAAAAGCAGCTTAAGCATGAAATATGGTTTTTTTTTAAAAACAGCCACCAGATTCATAGCTGAGCAGCAGATTGCTGGTCAATCATTAATGGAGCTGTGATGAATTCATGCCTCCAGGAAGCTCCATAAATGCCTCATAAACCTTTTGAACATGGAGGTCCAGAAGTCAGGCTGAGAGTTACAGCTCCAGCCTCCATCTGTCAGTTCACTCCATCATGCATAATGCTGCCTTAATGTCCTCTATTACCTCCAATTTATTGACTCAGTTTCAAGCACAGCTCGTTTCATGCACAAGGAGCTCATCTTTACGCGTCCTGAGCCCAACGCGCCTTTATATCTGACCCAATTGGCACAAACGCACGACATGAAGCCACGGTTTCATCCGTTCCGTCGTGTTTTAGGACATTTTTAAACACTGAAAACCACGAAACGAAACCACAACTGAACTCCAACAAACAAACAAACAAACAAATGTTCCGTGGTGACAGCTGGTTTCCTCACCTGATGAGTCCAGAGCTGCCCACAGCAGGAGGAGCGCGCAGGTCGCACACAGACGCATGTTCCCGATTTTAAAAAAAGATTTCCCTGCTATTAAAAGACGTAAAAACTTGATCTCGCTGTTTCTCTCTCAGACACACAGCTGCATTTTCGCCCACGTTACGACAGCAACGGCTCTGACAGCCACTTCCTGCTCTGCGTTACCTGTGCGCGGCGGCGCGCGGAGGGCGTGGACCGCGCCGGCCAACGACACGGTTACCTGTCCCGACTTGACGGCAGGATCTGGGCCCTGCCGCTGTACCTTTGAGCCGAAACTCGTCAATTACGCGCTGCGGTCCTTATGCGGCTGCCCGTCACTGTGTGGCACAATGGCTGCCCTATTTATACGCAGCCAAACATGCCAAAGATTGTTGGCACCGGCGCTGCGTTTCCCCAAAACGAAGCAGAGAAGGGGTGTGGAGAGGCTGCTCAGAGGAGACGTTATAGTGAGATAGGGATGGCTTTTTAATATAATGACAAAGGGAATCATGTTATAGAGGTACACAGTAGGAATTAAACAGGTTCAGTGAGTTTAAAGACAGATTTACGCACATTGTAGGTGACAGTTCATTCAAATGAGCAAAAAATGTTTGGATGTTTAGATTCAAAGATCAGGTTTGTCCTGGTCACCTGCATTTTCTTCACAGTAATGATGATGAAAACGTGGTTAACTGTGTGTGTGAGGCTGGTAGCAGCTCTGTGGATAACACTCCCAGAGTCACCAGGCTTCCTCCTGCCTCCACATGTCTCAGGACTTAAAGACATTCCTGCTCAGAAACATACCTGAGGGCACAAGCACACTGAGGAGCTACACGTCTGTATGCTGAACATGTTCACCTCTGAACCAAAAACTCAACCTCAAACCAAAAACCTGCTCAGTTTGATACTTTTCTTATCTGGAGCTCATCTTAAATGGCAAAACACAACAATACAGACACAAGAATAAAGGCTGAAAAACAGGTAAAAAAAAGTTCCCCCAACTTTCCTTTCTTTGTATTTCAGTCCCCAACACACACACCTATACATTGAACCATGGAGGCGCCGCTCAGGGTTTTTGTTGAACCAGTCTGGCAGCATGCAGAGTGGGTGTTGTGGAGAACTCAGACGGATTCAGTGTCTCCTAACAAGGGAGCTCAGTGAAGAGTCAGCAGCTGTCAGAGTTCCCTCCCTGCAGAGTAACTGTGGAGCCGAGGAGCCAAACACGTGCAGCAGTCGGATCCACGGCTCAACTTTCTCTTTGTGAACGACACAGATCAGCAGCCTCTCTGTTCATGTGGACGCAGTGGGCTCTTTATGATCAGTAATAATGTGTCAGAGTAAAGATTGGGCATCAAAAGTATCCAAGTATTTTATTCTGGCATCATCCTTTGAGTTTTCTTTCTGCACTGTAAAAAATAAAAATAAAAAATCTGTACAATCATATTTTTTTTATTATTATTATTATCTATAAATGAAAATATAAAAATACAGATTGTTGATGTGGAGTTTTGGCCTGTTCCATTTGCAGTAACCATAGAAATGTAAACTTTTTTTCTGTGATTTTTAATGCTTATTATCAATAATCTCACAAAATGGAGAAAATCAGTAAAATAAAAGCTGAAAAAAAAAATTCCCTATTTTTTGTACTCAATATATTTATTTTTTCTTTCAAACTTGTAAAATAATATTTTTAGCCAAATAAAGTATTGCAAACAAATATTTTACAGTCAAATATTGAGCTGAATTATTAATTAAAATACAGATTTTGATATACGTAAATTAATACTTTTTAAAAGCTCTTGTCTGTAATTCAACAACACGATGTAAATCTGTGGTGGTTGTCGAATAAAATAACAGAAAAAAGTTTTAAATTTTGACTGTAAACAAACAAACAAAAAACAGGCCACAATGCTGCATAATGTCCCCTAAAGAAATGTGTATTTTATATATAATAATTCATTCTTTTATAATATGTGACCCAAAAAATTATATGATTTAATTGTATTTAAATCAGGTAAAGATATTATCAGGTAATTTGCCTGTTATTGTCAATGTTTTTAAAGTATTTTACAATTTTTAACACGTTTTATATAACTATAAAGGGCCAAATGCTCAGTTTTTAGTGGATTTTAAACACGAGTTAAACTATATCCAGACGACCTTTTTAAATAAAAACACAATGAGGCGTACAGCTACAGTCGGACCTCCCTGATGACTCGTTGCAGTACAGCTCGAGTTACTGGTTGTTATCTGGGCAGCAGGTCCGGTTTTAGATAAAAGTCTGAACCGGCCACGTGAGGGCAGCAGGAGCATCAAATGAGATGGAGAATAATAAGGCACAACTTTTCATTTTGAACCAGGTACTATTGATGACATTTTGGAAACAAATAACTTTGCTGGCAGTCAGACGAACATCCTCATTTGGACAGTCTGGCTGTGGTGCTGCATTTATCTTCTCTGTGACCTCGGAGTCAACGCTCATCAGGGTCAGAACCAACTTCTGAACACAGAATATTTCATTTAAGAGGAAGAAATCTTCATCTCTGAATGAATCGTGATGGCGTCATATTGTTTGTCTTGTGGATTAAAAACTGTAAAACCTCCTTCTGTTTAATTTCTGCATGTGATATCTGCAGTTTTAATTTTGCAAACAAATGTCCAAAACTGACAAAAACTCTGATCAGTCACATTTTGATCTAAAAGTCCAAAATTATAACTTTTTACAAGTTTGTGCCTCTCGTGTCTTCTACACTCAGGTCACACAGGATGAAATAAAACCTTTTTTCAAATTCTCAAAGTCTTTTTTTTTTTAAATACATGAAAACTAGAGATATTTAACCCATTTCTTCATTTAATTCCAACTAAAGTCACCAGAAAATGACAACACTCGTGTTTTTGTTTTTTGTTTTTTGTATATAAAAACAAGCAAATTAGGACTGAAATCAGAGAAATTCAGAGTTTCATTATATATATTCAGACTGTTGCAGCCTCTACTTTCCACGCCACTGCAGTCCTCCTCCTACACAGCAGGGGGCACTGCAGTCCTCCTTCTCCTCCGACACAGCAGGGGGCGCTGCAGTCTGACGCCGTCCGTCACTTCACTTCGATACACGTCATGCAAACAGCAGCTTTAAGCTTCTGCGCATGCGCCGGTCCTGTCCCTTCAGTTCCTGCTGGTCGAGGAAGACTGTTGAAAGGTAAGCGCTGCTGTCTCTCCTGATTCTGTAAACTGGTGTTCTGTTCTGATGTAGTATTTAGGAGCGACTACAGCAGTACTACTACCACAGTACTCTGTTCACGGTACATTCAGGTAGTAAACGCTGTTCTTTACTGTAGTCGTGTCGCTCTGCTGGGACTCGTCTGGTCCACGTAAGCGTCTCAGACCGTCGGTGTTGAGCTCTGACTGGTTCACATCATCTGTTCGGGGCTTCAGCTTTGTGAAGCCCTGCTGGTGTGTTTACAGGTGTGTGTACAGGTAGCTCCAGTCTCATGTCGTTGTATATGATGTAATAATTAAAGTCCAGAGAACATCTTCTCCACAGAACCATATGTACGTGGACACTGCAGTATTCCCACCCTGTGCCATCCAGACCGAACCTGAACACGTCCACATGGTTTAAACCCCTCTGAACCTGTGTCATCTTCTCACCAGGAGTTTATCATCTCGCTGCTCTCTGTCTCCTCTGCAGATGACCAAGATGTTGCAGGTAGTATTTGTGGTTCTGGCTCTGCTCGGTCTGGGCTCAGGAGAGGAGGGAGCCCGACTGCTGGCCTCCAAGTCTCTGCTGAACCGCTACGCTGTGGAAGGCCGGGACCTGACCCTCCAGTACAGCATCTACAACGTGGGCTCCAGGTTAGACGTCTTAGACTTATATATATGTATAGACATGTAGGAACTATAAGGACACCGTGAGCTGTGAATGTCCTCACATCTGTCTTCTGCTGATCTGATCATATATAGGGGTTTGAAAAAGTTTAAGCACCCCCGACAATTTCCATTATTTCCATTAATAAATCATTAACTGTTTGAATCAGCAACTTCATTTCTGATCTATCAAATAACTTATTTATTGGACTAACAGAAGATGTGCATCAAAACAAAATCAGACGGGGAAAAAATGTGGGCACCCCAACAGAAAAAAATCACATAAATATTAAGAAGTGCTTCCTTTTGCAAAAATAACAGCTTCTATATGCTTCCTGTAGCCTCTAACAAGCATCTGGATTGTGGATGGAGGTGTTTTGGACCCTTCCTCCTTACAAAACATCTCCAGTTCAGGTTTGATGGTTGCCGAGCATGGACAACCGGCTTTATTAATGGAACTAATGGAAATTGTCAGACGTGCCCAAAATTTTTCATACCACTGTATAATAGGATTTCCTATTTATTAAAGAATACAAAACAAGCCTTCGTCACATAATTATACGATATCACACGGTCACTTCTCCAGCTTCAGATAGGTGTTTATTTTTTACCATACAAGCTCATTTCTCTGCCTGTTTTTCTCATTAAGCAACCGTCTGGAGTCTTAACTATGTCAACGTAGCTGCTTATCTGTACCACACAGTGAGAGCACATGCTGTACTCCTGAGCTTTATTACTGTGTGTATTCAAGCTGTACAGAAAGCCACAGAAACCCAAAGCCCGTCCTGATTTTTTAAAGGTCAGCTGCGTATTGTGTCACTAACTGTCTTCATCCTGTGTGTCTCCACAGCGCCGCTCTGGAGGTGGAGCTCTCAGACGATTCGTTTCCTCCTGAAGACTTTGGAATCGTTTCAGGAATGTTAAACGTCAAGTGGGACAGAATCGCTCCGTATCCTCCAACCAAGATGTCTTCTCATTAATTACCCTTAAGTTTGTAGTGACCTCGCATGGCCTGACAGCTCATCACACACACCTGTTCAGGTTGTGTTCAGGCTCCAGACACTTTTTTGCACATTTATTTAATGTGATAAACGGCACCGTAGAGTCAGAAAGTGAAATCAGACCACATACTGGGATGTGAACAGAGCAACATGTTAGCACACTGTCACACACTAAGCACACGGTCTAAGATGTCACAACAGACTACAGAGCAGCTCAGATTGTAGGAGGTTATTATATTTTTGAGTTCAAATGTGCATGCATGGGCTCTTCATGTTGTCCCCAAGTTGTCCCCTTTAACTCCAGAACCCTCAGAGCCAGCAACGTGTCCCACACGGTGGTGCTGCGTCCCCTGAAGGCCGGCTACTTTAACTTCACATCAGCGTCCATCAGCTACCTGGCTCAGGAAGGAGGACAAGTTGTGGTAAGAACAGTCGATCGTCTGCGTAAATCAAAGCAGTTGACGTCGTCTCGTGACGTGTTGGAAGCTGAAGGGTTCTTGTCGTCCTGCAGGTGGGCTACACCAGCGCTCCTGGTCAGGGAGGCATCCTGGCTCAGAGGGAGTTCGACCGGCGCTTCTCCCCACATTATGTGAGTGTTATGATCAGAAGGGAGCTGCTGTGTGCTTATTGCAGCTCCTGAGTGAGTGGACTAACCCACAGGGATTGAAGCAGAGGGCTGCAGGGTGGCTCGGTGGTTAGCACCGTCACCTCACAGCTAGAAGGCATCCCGGTGAGGACACATGGGATCATTCTGCGTGGAGTCTCCATGTTCTCCCCGTGCAGCGTGGGTTCTCTCCGGGTTCTCCGGCTTCCTCCCACAGTCCACAAACATGCTGAGGTTAATTGGTGATTCTAAATTGTCCGTAGGTGTGAATGTGAGTGTGCTTGGTTGTCTGTCTCTAAGTGTAGCCCTGTGATAGACTGGTTACCTGTCCAGGTGAACCTGCCTTCACCCTGAGTCAGCTGGAATAGACTCCAACTCCCCACGACCCTAGTGAGGAATAGTGTGTAGAGATGATGGATGTTTCATATGATCTAGTGTGATTCTTGACTTGTGATTTTACTATTTGCCTCCCTTGGAGTTTATGACATGGCAGCGATGTTCCTAAAGACCCTGTTGTTCTTGTCTGAACCGTCTCTTGGTACCTCCCTCACCGTCCCATGTCTTCCTTTTCTAGCTGGACTGGGCTGCTTTTGGTGTCATGACCCTGCCATCCATCGGCATCCCGCTGCTCCTCTGGTACTCCAGTAAGAGGAAGTACGACTCGCCAAAGGCCAAGAAAAATTAAGAAGCACCGCTGGCTTCGGGAGGAGGGGTTGGGAGAGAGGTGGTGAGGTTTAGTGGGTACAGGATCTCTGGAAAGCCTAATAACCCATATTGGGGGAGAGAGTTGGAAGAAACACAGTGACCAAGGAACTTGATTGTGAATCGACTGAAGCAGCAGTGACAGCTCTGAAGCAGGACGTGGACATGGAATCAACGATACCAGAACACCAGCACATCCATTAGATCTGTCTGTTCCCATAAAGACGTGATGCCTGACTGCACTGCTGGTTATTCCTTTTAGTCATTTGCAGATAGATTCAGATGGTGACAAAACAATTACACTTATTTCACAAATAGTTTGGATTTTTTTTTTTTTTTAATGTAATGAACTGGATTCAGATGTTCAGTTTATAGCCAGTTGTTGAACTTGACAATGGAGAAATAAAAGAAAAAAAGGTGGGCTGTTTTTAACCTGTGGCTGATTGGTTTCTGATGTTTTATTTTGCTCATGTTTTAGTTTGTGTACGTGACAGATAAAGAAACAGAGACTGGTTCCACTTTTCCACCAAAAAGAACCAAGTGCCAGTTCCAGGGCTTAGTTGGTTCCAATCTGGCACCTCAAAGAACCTGATTACTTTTCCATCAGCAAGGAGCAGAAGTTTTTTTTTTTTTAACAACTTTATTTACCAATGAATGTGTACAGAGAATTAAACAAACAACATACACAATTTGACAGACGTGTGCTGTGATAGATGATAGATGCGTTTTGACAAGTTCAAGTTCTATGGTAATTAAAAGACAAACAATATTTTTTTTAAAAACAAAAAACTATTCAGCTGTGACAGTAAAGATACACTCAGATCTCCCTCTGTAAGCCAAGCTGGGATCAGCGGCGGCTTGGCGCATGCGCGATTTATTTGAGGGTCTCTTCTGATCCGACTGCGGCTGCGCAGGATTCCAGCCTGCCTGGGACTAGCTCCGGGACAGCGAAAGAGCTCACGGCGGCTCCCGCTGCCCAGAGGGCAGTAACGGCACAACGATATGTGCATTTCCGTCAGTCTCCAAGACACCAAAAAAAGTAGCTAGTCGCTTTTGGGGGAAAAATAGTCTCTAGATTTAGCGAGAAAGTCTCCCAAGTTGCTGGCCGCCGTCACAGATGCAAACCGGGACACTCACATCTCCGAAGTCGTCGGAGCAACATTTTAAGCAGGCTTTATCTCGAAAAATGACCACATATTTGACGTCTATACCACTACTTTCTCGCCTAAAATAATCTTAAAACTACACTTTGTGTCACAATAACAATAGTATTTACAGAAAAACTTGTGTTACCGTTTAAAGTGTCCTCGACTGTAGTCGCTGGTTGGTGCGAAATGCATACTAGAATACTGGGCTGTCTGAAGTCCACACAAGTCCGGTCTGATGCAGACTCCATAGCTATGGATGACAAAGACCTTATAAAAGCCTATATAAATGTTAAAAAATAAAATAAAAGCCTTTATTATGCATATCTACGGTCAGTACTGATGACGTTTCACTAGAAGGCAACTTCGGACAAGTAGCAGAAACCATAGAAACGGCCTTCTTATTCTTCTGTGTGTTTTTAAAACAGCGGTAAGCAACTAGTATATTAGGTACATCAGCGCCACCTTGTGCTTCGGAGTGTAAAGCAGCGTAAACATAGACTCACTAATGCTGTGTTGATCCCCACATCTGCTGTTGCTCAACACTCAAGTTGAGAGTCATCATGACTACACAAATACCACAGATAAGACAATAAAGAAAAAATATTTACGTTCTGCCCCCACTAACCTGCTGCCAGTGTATGTTTTAGACCATTTGCTCTGATCTCAGTGCTATGTTGTCTTTATTATGTTTGCTATTTATTTAGAGTTGATTTGACTTAATTTGTGAAGCACCTTAATATTTATGATCGTTGCAACATGTGCTATATAAATAAGATTTATTATTTAATCCTACTCATCCAATGAACTAAATAAAAACTCTACAGTCCTACCCACCTGGCAGGTTAACTTAAGTTTTAATCTGAGTTTCTGAAATCCAATCTCCCTCTACAACCTCACTGACATCAGATACATGCAGTCATGTTGAAACAATGGAAATAAGTGTAAATTATCATTTTTAATATGTAATTAATTATTCTAGGTTGTGTTTAAGTTACGCTTTTAAGGTAAGTTAAATAAAGCTCATTATTATTATTATTATTATTATTATTATTATTATTATTATTATTATTATTATTATTATTATATTGTTACTTCTGCATCTGTTGGCAGATATTCTGGCCCACTGCTCATCAGCAAAGGGCTCTCATTTGTCAGTTTTGATTTTTTAAATTATTGTTTTCAGCCACAATTCAAAAGCAACGTCTTATTTCACTAAATTATAATTTAGCAAATTTTTATTTATTATTACTTTTTCAGTTTTTAGTTATTTGAGTGATTATTGTGAGTTTTAGCTTTTCTTTAATGGAAGGACGTGAACACATCTGACTGTCAGCAGGGCAACACCAGCCACCACTGTTTTTATATTGATTTTTACACTAAATAATCCATCTCTACAACCATAAGAAGTGTTTCCACAGGTTGTCAGATCGTGTGGATGCAGCACCAGGACCGCTGCCTAATGAGGTAACAACAGTCGGTGACCTCAGCGGGAGGATCCGCTCCAGGTCGCTAGACTCGTATTTACGGTAAATCGGACATGACATCAAACTGCTGCTGTGGGTGTTTTCCGCATTCCCCGACCGCTTTCGAGCTTCAGGGCCGAGCTGACGGCGCAGCGCGGACTTTCCAGGACTCTGATCTGAGAGGAGCGAGCAGGGACACATCCAGGACGGGACAGACTCGGTCCAGGAGAACATCCGAGCTGGAGCTGGACCGTCGCGCTGTGCGGGGACACCGGGCTTCACAGGTTCTGCTGCTGCTGCTGCTGAGGCCACATCCATGTCCATGGTCAGTCTGCAAACACTTCTGGTTTGACTGTTTTCTCTCTCTCGTATTTATAGTGTTTGAATATTAGACGGCATCTGCGCCAACTTTAGGTTTGGAGGCTTGAGAAAGTTCTGTGTTCTCTCTGATTGGGACGGAACTGAGTGGTTTCTACATCAAACATGTCAGAACAGGACCACAGAGTGCTGTCGGTGCTGAGAGGATTAATCATCTAAACACGTTTACTACTGACAATACCATCATTTATATGCATAGAAGTTTCTGAAATAATTAGTAGTTTTTATGAGTTTGGTAACTTGATGCAAAGTGCAGCAAAGAATCAAACCTTATGAATAAATCAACATTAGATGCATTAGAACCGTCTCAGGACTCAGAGAGCTGCTTTAATGTGCAGGTTGGTTGTTCTGCATATCTGACAACTTGCCAGTTCTGAGGCTGTGTCAATGTCTTCTGGTTCTGATGTAATCCCACGCTGACATCAGACACATCTTGTTTTTCTTGTGGTTGATTTTTATTTTTAAACTCTGGCTGCATGTTTTTGCTGCTGCAGGATGACTTTAGAATGATCAGAAACCCCCAAGAGAAGCATCTAGACAGATAGATAGATAGATAGATAGATAGATAGATAGATAGATAGATAGATAGATAGATAGATAGATAGAAATACTTTATTAACCCCAGGAGAAACTTGGTTGTTACAGCACAACGATAGAGTTACCACCACCATAAATACAGATAAATAAGCAAAAATAAACAATAAGAAAATCTAAAATGTACAATACATGTAATATGTTGAGTAGAAAAGTCCTGTGTGGAGTGGGGGTGCAGATAGCAATGTGCAACAAAGAGTCCAACAGAAGTGTGCAAAAGGCAGTTTCAAAGATGGAACCAGAAGCTACAAGGCAGAGAGGGCTGAGAGCTCTCTGCCAGCCAGGGGAGATGAGTTAACCAGGGTTAGTGCTTCCTGTGTCTGTAGCTGGACCAGCCTGGTGGAGAAGCTGCTCCGCTGCCTGTCCAACAGGGGGTGAAGCGGGTGGTCAGGGTTATCCAGGATGGACAACAGCCTATCTAAAGTCCTCCTTTCCACCACAGCTTCAAAACAGTCCGGTTTGCAGCCAATCACAGAGCCGGCTTTCCTGATCAGTTTGTTCAGGCCGTTCTTATCACCAGCTCTGATGCTGCTCCCCCAGCAGAGACCACTGCACAGTTCAGGGCGCAGAACACCTCCAACATCCTGCTGCATACGTTGAAGGATCTCAGCTTGCTCAGAAAATAGAGTCGGCTCACCCGCTTCCTGTACACAGAGTCAGTGTTGGTCCTCCAGCTCAGTCCGCTGTCGAGGTAGACGCCCAGGTACTGGTAAATATCCAACATGACGAAAACCTTCTTCCTATTTTTAAAATATTTAAAATATGAGATGAGACGAAACACACCAGAACCCGTTCTATGTTGAATTTCCAATTTCAGCTGAGGACTTTTTTTTTTTTTTGATTAATAATATGATTGACTCTTAAACTGAACCCCATTCAGTGATTCTGCCTCCATGTGGGAAAAGTCATAGTGTGCATTCTGGAGCACTTAAATTGGCCACAGATCTGGAACGCAGCAGTCAGAATGACCTTAAATGATTTGTTCTCTACTATATTAAATGAATGGCTGGGAAGGGATTCAGCAGTGAAAGTGTTGTGTATCTGAACTACAAAAGACGTCTATCTGTGTACAGTTTATTTAATTCAATTTTATTTATATGGCATCAACTCACATTTGCTGTCTCAAGGTTTTTTTTCCCCAAAAGTAAGGTTAGTACAGAATTATACAGAGAAAGTTTTCTTTGAGTTCCCTTTGAGCAAGCGCTTGATAACAGTGGGAAGAAAAAGCGACCTTCTATCAAGGACAGATCTCAGGTGGCCTTGAACGGTTGGGTTGAGGGTAAACAGGAGAGTGACAGGACCGCAGATACAGAACGGGCCACAAGCTGCAGATCAGAAACAGGTAGAGATACCTGCAGTGAGAACAAAACAAATGTGGAAGAAAGAAAGTTAGTGACATGCAACAGCGATGTACAGATATGTGTAGAGAGAAGGAAAAGAGTGGAGAGGAGCCCAGTGCATCATGGGAATCCACCAGCAGTCTAAAGCTACAGCAGCATCACTAAGGGACAGTTCAGGTGATCCTGAGCAGCTCTATCAGCTTTATCATAGAGGAACGTTTTAATCCTGACCCTAAAAGCTAAAACATAAAACTCTAGGAACCATCAGCAGACCTGCAATCTGAGAGCGAAGGGTTCTGTTAGGATGATACGGTACCATAAGGTCTGTAAGGTCACATGGAGCTACTCATTCAGAGTTCATATGTTAGAAACAGGATTTTAGATTCTATCCTGGATTTTACAGGGAGCCACTGAAGAGGAGCTGATACAGGAGAAATATGATCTGGTACTGGTTCCTGTCAGAACCCTGCTGCAGCATTTTGGATCAGCTGGAGGTTTCTGAAAGAGTTACTGGAACATCCTGATAATAATGAACTACAATAGTCCAGTGTAGAAGGTCTAAATGATGGACTGGTTTCTCAGCATCACTCTGAGACAGGATGCTCCTGATGTTTACAGTATTACGTAGATGAAAGAAGGCCGTCCTACAAACTGGTTTTATATGGCTGTTGAAGGACATGTCCTGGTCAGAAATACCTCCAAGGTTCTGTACAGTAGAACTGGAGGCCAAGGTGATGCCATGCAGAGCAGCTATCTGGTTCCATAGTGTGTTTCTGAGGTGTTTAGGGCCAAATACAATCACCTCAGTTTGTCTGGATTTAAATGAAGGCAATTACAGGTCATCCAGGCCTGTATGTCCTTCAGACTACAAATCATTTTTTTAGTTTTTTTTTGTTTTTTTTTATATGTGATAAAACTCTCTTTCCAGGCTAGATGAGATTCTTCTGAACTAGTAGAACGCTACTGCCTTTTCAGCCCTCTTGAATTCTGCTTTAGGATTTGCACTTGTTCGTTATACCACAGAGCTATTTTATTGTAGTTTATTGGCTTCTTCTTCAGAGGGCCAACAGCATCAACTGATGAACGCATTAAAGCTGCAGTTCTATCAACCAGATGATCCACCTGTGTGTGACTAAGATTAGAGTAGCTGCTCTCTGTTGTGTTAGGATTAAAGTAAATAATAGTGGAATAATTTCTACTTATGGTTTTCTATCAGAATCAAGATCAGCTTTAATGGCCAAGTACGTACACAACATACAAGGAATATGGTATCGGCCGTTAGTGTTGTCCTGGAAATGAGCAGTAGGAAAATAAAAAATAAAGAAATAAATATAAAAGAAATACAAATAAAATAAAATAAATTATAAAAAAAGATAAATAATAATAAAAGAATAAACGCAAAATGATAAACATGTCTTAATAACTCAAATCTCACAAACAGAAATACAATCAGAGGTTCTAAAACCCTCACCTTATATTAATTTAGCACTTCCTGTCTGATATTACACAATAAAATCACTATTGCTGTTTAAGCGTGGACACACTCTTATTCTGAAATTAGGACCGGAAGTTACCATATCTATGCACAGAGCAGCAGCAACTTAACACATAGCTGCAAACTCTTCAGATTCCTAATTTAAGGAAGGTACAGTAGAGTAATAAGTGAAACCACAGAATAAACATACAGTAAACTTCTCGTGGCTTCAGGTACGACTGGTAGAAACTTTAAACTTTAAACCAAATAAAGAATAGACACATAACGACAACATCACACATCCTCCTGGTAAATACTGACCTTTACATTCACGCTCGACCAACAACTCAAAAAAAAGGGAATGGCTCTGCACACTGTTGTCTTATCAGTCTTTCTTTTTGTTAATGCAAAAAAAATGTTCTGACATGTTTTAGGGACATGTAAGACTTTCAGCCATGAACTAGTGAAGTGTTGTCGACTTTGCTGCCCAAGTCAGAGCGGGAAGAGAATCATCCTCTCTAAGGATCTGTTGTCTTATATTCTGATGTGATTTTATTGCGGGTTTTAAGACCTTGTAAAAATCCTCGAGCCACAGTTTGAGCTCCCATCGTGGCTTTACCTGCCCTCCACATCAGAATCAGAATCAGACAAAGCTTTACTGCCAGGTGAGCTCGCACACAAGAAATTTGCATCAGTCACATGAAACTCACGAAGGGTTGGTTAAACAGCAAGACAACAGCAGAGTCTGTACTGTGACGCCATCCAGATCAGAACTGAAACCAGGTAATGGAGTTGTAGAACTTGTTGAGTAGCTATCACATATGATGCCTGGACTCGTGTTATGGTTGACGCATGTTACAAGTCAGTTATGTTAATAGAGAGAACTGGTGGTCTTTATAGCAAACCATTTATCACACAGTCGCACATGATTCTTAGATGGCAAAGCAGACGTGGAGTGTTGTGGCAGAACGGCAGCTGACAGATAAAGATGTACTACTAGTGACTGACACACGTTTAACACGATACAGGTGCATCTCGTATAATTAGAATATGGTCTAAAAAGGTCAGTATTCTTCATCAGACAAAAATGAAATCTGTTCATGTTCTTGACTCATTACACATTACCTGAAATCTTTAAACCCTGATGATAACAGCTTACAGCTCATGGCATCATCCGTGGATCTGTTTGGCCGCTAAGCAAACTGAAGTGGATCCAGAGATTCAGGGATGGAGGAACAGATGTGTTCTCAGATTAGTCTCTCCAAACACACAGGTTCTGAGTTCTGTAAAGACACCCCTTGGGACTGGAACAATGATTGACCTGATTAGACGTGTGGGGAACACAGACTGACGAAGGGAGAGGTTAAATAGCGTTGTGAACACTGGAGCTACTACATCAGCACAGGAGTTTAACATCTTTTCATGAATGTCATGGTAAATGGTAAATGGTCTGCACTTCAGTCTTGCCCAAGGACACTTCGGCTGTGGAAGGGCGGGGGATCGAACCGCCAACCTTGCGACTGGAGGCTTGGAGGACAACCCGTTCTACCACCTGAGCCACAGCCGCCCCTGATCTCGCTGCCTTCCTGATGTTCATTCTCCTCCTCATGTTTTGCTCTCGTCTCCGTTATGTCCTGTTAGCCACAGTGGTTGGCATGCTAATGCTAGATCTAGTGTGATTAGGTTCATCTTGTCTACTCTGATTATAGGTATAAGCTTTCTTTTTTTTATCAGACGATGAGTATGTTTTAGATAGGAGCTGTTTCTACCTTTTGACATGTTTCCACTGTCACTTCCTCAGAAACGCCACTGACGTCTGTGGTGACGTGTCTTTATCAGCTGCTGGTTTCCTGGAGGCATGGATGTGGCCACACCTCCTGCCGCCCGGTGGTCTCTGCAGGAGAGCATCCCATGTGTGGGGCAGCATGATGCCCCCTCATCACGGTTCACGGTGTCTTTGGCTTGCCTCCTGATTTCTACGGCCTCCTTGATCCAACATTGGATCAGGCGTGGCCTGTTGGGTAAATCGGACAGATTGGCAGGCGGGTCACGCCTCCAGGAAACCACCAGCTGATAAAGACACATCACCACAGACATCAGTGACGTTTCTGAGGAAGTGACAGTCGAAACATGTCAAAGGTAAAACAGCTCCTATCTAAAAAATACTTATTGTCTGATAAAAAAAAAAGAAACCTTATACCTAATACTAGCGCTAGCTTCAGATCATGTGTAGAAGGTGTTTAGGTCAGTAGCCAGAACAGTTCCTTTCTCTCACAAAGACGGGAGCTGTCTCTGTGATCGCCTGCAGTCCTTTCTTGTCATGCTGTTGAAACCCCTTTCATCATTCTTCGTTGCTTGTCTCAGCCTGTATGGTGATGCTTTATGTTCCTCCATACAGCTGCTGACGAGGTCCACGTTGTAGTGCTGGTGTGCTTTTAGAGCAGCGCGGTAGACTGATCCGCTACTGAAACATAGAGACTTTACCGTGGTAATGACATCACGTGAAGCCCGCCACTACTTCCACAAACTCACTGGAGCTGGACTGGAACACATCCTAGTTGATGTCATTCAGAGTATCACATCCACTGTGTCATTCTCTGTTGACATCAGGGTGAATGGGGCCTTTGTCTGATTTGCAGAGTGGAGGCAGTGAAACCAGTTTGTAGCCCAGGATGAATCAAGAGTACCTCATTCTGGTGCAACCCACTATTTCGTTTGTGTTTTACTTCATTGCTCACTTTCTTCAGTGTGTGTGTGGTTTGTGAATGAGAGAATTAAGAGCAGGTGGTGTCCGCTGATTGGCTGCTTCCTGCCACGCGATTGGTCAGGGGGCGGGTCCCTAATCTATTTGAACAGCCCACCAACTGCACTCTGGCTCCTCACCTCTAAAGACTGACACCACCAGGACATGCCAGCAGGCCACATCTTTGTTGTCTGTGTTGTAGGAGCATGCAGCAGCAGCAGCACTAGTTAGTTAGTTAGTTAGTTAGTTAGTTAGTTAGTTTAGTTAGTTAGTTAGTAGTCGTGCACTGTGGATTTTGGTAGGAGGTGGGTTAGGGTTTCTTTAGTTCAGGGAAGCTAGGCTCAATTTAGAGTATTTTTGCTTATTGTGTTGGCTCATGTCTCCCTCTGAAGGAAATAAAAAACTGCTCTTGTTGAACTTGGCATACTGGTTGCTGGCCTTTCTTGGAGTGGGAGGAGTGGTGGAGCACAAACTCATGTTGTGTCAAAGGTTCCCCTAGACCGGGGCAGAACAAACTGTCTTGAGGTTTGCTTTAAAATGTATTATTTTTGATTTGATAGCTCATTTCGTGACTAACTAATAATGTGTCAGCGTTCTGTTGAATGACTCAGAAAGCGGTCAGATTTGCGTACGTGCCAGTAAAATTAAAACATTATATTTTAAAGTCGCAAAGTTCTTGGGCTCACAGATTATAGCTGGTATGTAGAGGTTTAATGTATCCCAATCAGCCACAACATAAAACCGCCTGCATAGTGTTGGCACAATAAGCAAAGTGTGGTTTCTTTTGAGTAACTGTTTGTTTTGTGATATTTTGTGTCACTAATACTCAGGTCCAGCTTTGGTTTATGGAAAATCTGGACAACCATGAACCCCTTGATGTTGACGGTTAAATAGCCAGCAGAGGACCACGGTGAAGCGAACCAACATGGCTGTCTTCAAGCCTGAGAATGTGGAAGACTTCTACGAGATCATGGAAGTCCTGGGAAGGTATGGACAGAACTGCTGTAACGGTGTTGAAGCTCCACAGTGTCGAGTATGTTTTGCTGTAATGTTGCCAGGACATTTTGTTGCTCTTGTTCTTTCTTTTGAATTCCAGCACACTGGATTTGAATTTAGCCGACTTTTAGCTTTAATTTTAGGGTGTTTTTCAGGTGTTGAGCAGGACCCCTTAGTTCCAGTGAAAGGAACGCTTAATGCTTCAGCATACCAAGACATTTTGGACAATTCCATGCTCCCAACTTTGTGGGAACAGTTTGGGGATGGCCCAACATGGCTGCGTACGAGTGCACAAAACAAGGTCCATAAAGACACGAGTGAGCTAGTTTGGTGTGGAGGGACTTGTCTGGTCTGACCTCAACCCAATAGAACACCTTTGGGATGAAGTAGAGTGGAGACTGGGAGCCAGGCCTTCTGGTCCAACATCAGCGCATGACCTCACAAACGTGCTTCAGTAAGAATGGTCAAAAATTCCCATAAACACACTCCTAAACCTTGTGAACAGACTTCCCAGAAGAATTGAGGCTGTTATAGCTGCAAAGGGTGGGCCAACTTCATATCAAACCCTACGGATTCAGAATGGGATGTCATTAAAATTCATGTGCGTGTAAAGGCAGACGTCCCAGCAAAACACAGTTTTACTGACTGTGCATCCATGAAGCTTTGCCACAAAACTGTAATTCTGGCTGTGGCTTCACATAGGACCCTAACATTTAAGCACATTTACATACCAACCACCTCCAGCAGTGATATCTCAAACATCATCTTAACATCGGTAGTTTTGTTCGCGCTTCAACAGTATCTTATACGTCTTCTGTATGTGATGCCTGGTCTTCACTGTGAATTCTGTCCTTGTCCTGTCCAGTGGGCACTTCGGTCAGGTTCGACGGGCTTGTGAGCGGACCTCTGGGACTTGTTGGGCGGCCAAATTCATGAAGGTTCGGAAGAGCGCGTGCAGCCGTCTGGGCATGGACCGGAGCAGCGTGGAGCGAGAGGTGGAGATCCTCCAGGCCGTACAGCATCAGAACATCGTGACCCTGAAAGACGTTTTTGAGAGTCGAGCAGAGGTGGTGCTGATTCTGGAGCTGTGAGTTGACGAGAGACTGATACAGTGCAAGCAACAAATATGACATGCCAGTCAGACACCTCACAGAGTAACCTTTAAGATCATGTTATGAGTGACACTAGGTCTTTATATGCCCGCCTCATTACTCTCCCCTTTATAACAACAACAGGTAAGGAGCTTAAACCAACCTTAGAATAGTCTGATAGTCACTGTGTGATGGTTTGGTAAGTGTCTCTACCTCAGGAGTCATTGTCGTAGATTAATTGTAGTAACTGGACCTGCTTGAGTTCCCTGAAGACGTTCCACCTCTCATCCAAGAGGCTTCATCAGCTCTGACTGACTAGTTGGGAGTTCCAGATACTGATATCCTGAAGGAGACATTAACACCTGAGTTTGGGTTTCAGTTGGGGGTTTGTTGCTCCCCCCCCTCGTTATGTGAGTCATTGGTGCTTTCCCTGACACAGTGGGGTTCATTAGGAGCCTGTCCAGGTGCTACGATTAATCTACGAGAATAACCACGACCTGGAGGACTGAGAACCTTCACAGACAGCTACCTCAGGAGCACTAAATAATAAATATTCATCTGCTGTTATATGAGAAGTTAGAGGCAGCAGCTTATAGGATGGATATGGCTGAAAGTTAGACAAGGATATCAGCATCTGTTTCACATCATCAACCTAGGCTTAAAAAAAACACATTAACGTTCAGGTTCAAAAACCATATTCAGAGGGAACAGTGATGGATATGACAGTAGCTACACGACACACAAATGCTTGAAACACCTTACTGTTTTCCTATCCTGTCAGATGTATTGTCTCATACAGAGAGTGGAAAATTTATAATTCACTCTGGTGTCTGTTCTCTCAGCGTTAGTGGAGGGGAGCTGTTTGACTTCATTGCTGAGAAGGAGAACCTGCTGGAGACTGAAGCCATTGAGTTCATGAAGCAGATCCTGGCAGGACTGGGCTTCATGCACAGCAAGAACATCGCCCATTTTGATCTCAAGGTAAAGCTGAACCGATCTTAAGAACAATCATGAGCAAACGTTTACATGTAAAAACCGGTGACTCATACAACTTGTATTTTTCTGTGACGGAATAATTAAAAATTATGCAAACATAGGCTTCCATAACAATGTTTTTTTTTTTCTGTTTTCAGCCAGAAAACATCATGCTATCAGACAAAGTGTCATCACATCCTAACATCAAGCTCATTGACTTTGGCCTCGCCCACTTTTTCAATCCGGGGGAGGAGTACAGGAGCACAAGTGGCACTCCACAATACATCGGTGAGAAGGAACAGTATTTCACATCACGTTTTCCTTCTTTGGCCTCTATGTAAGTGCCACAAGCTGCAGGTGTAGCTTCATGAAAGAGCTCCAAGTAAGATTTTCAAAGAGTTTGAGTTGCAGCAAAGAGATGAGATTGTGTAGCCATCAAGTAATACACTGACCTCTTGGTTAGTAGTCCTCGCTAATGCATCATAAACGGAACTTCCTGATTGAACATCATGTGAAAATTCCTAAACTCTCTAGTGTGTCATTTGGAAAAGATATGGCTGCTCTTGATACAGCCTGTCAGCTCTCATCATATTTTCTTTGTCTGACTGGTTTGAACTTTGTGTTTCTCGATAACAACGAGGAATTCTTCCATCCTGTGCTGCATTCCAGAAAGCCAGCCAACAGTTTGCTGGGCATCAAACTGACGCGAACATCTGGATTTTTATTGCCTTATGGTTACAGTGAGGGAGTAAATAGCACAAAGGTGTGTCTCTTTGTTTGCAAGAGCTTTTTAAAGGTATAAAATCCCTTTTTCCTGGATTCAGTATATCAGTTCACTCAGACAAAGAGGGAATATTGTGTGTCAGTGTGTTTAGAAATGTGTGACTAAAATGTCGTTACACACTAATTGCTTTTCCTTTGCATGGTTCAGAGTGATCTATGGTAAAATCTAACATCTCTGTAGGGTTATTGTCCAAGTGTCACATTGTTCATTTAGCTGGAAAACGGCTTTGACATTATTTCATGACGAGACGATGACTCATATCTGTTTTGCTAGATTTGGATGAACACTCATGCTATGAAATGTAATGCAAACATTCATTCATTCATGTGGAGGAATTTGGGATTAAAGTGCCAACTTTGCAGTTAGTTGAGACCCGGCTCTACCCCCTAAAGCCTCGGTCACAACCAGACGCATGACTTTCAGGATCCTACGTCCTCTGCGAATTTTGGGTGCCATGGAGGTCGTACAGGTAGAGGACAGGTTGCTCCATCAGAGAGGCGCAAGTCTGCCTTGCAAGTCGCAGGGGCGACGTGAGATGTCCGTTCAAGCATGGACCATAATTGCAAAGTGCGATTGGCGTGGAAATTGTACTCACGTCTTGAGTTTGTCTTCACACCTGCGTACGTGGCCGCACTCACCACTTAGGAGGAGAAGGGAATGCACAGCCTAAATCAGTCACACGTGAGGACGTACTGATGTCAGTTTGGTGTGATTTTGGGCCATCGTCAGACATCAGCAGTTCAGCCGGCCAAAGATGTTCTTTTGGGCTCCGATAACTGTACTGGCTGCTGCAGCATGGAGGTAGAGGGACCTCAGTGTATCAGGAGAAATACTCTATCAAATAGGTCAAAGTTCAAGCTCAAAGATTTTATTGTCATTTCCACGAAATGTCGTTTCTCCATCAGTGAGTGCAGTGCAATAGAAACATCAATAAAATAGTTTACATCATAATAAACTAATAAATAGTCATAAAATCAGATAAATACAGTCCGATCTCTCATAGTGCATCAAGTGTCCTGACTTGACAGTTGACTGGCTGTCCAGGGTGAGAGTGGGTGTGTCTGTGGGGATGGAGGACAGTCCATTAATAAGTCTTACAGCCTTATTACTAAAGCTGCTGCATCTCCTCCCTGATGGCAAAGGGAGAAGCTGTGGTGGGAGGGGTGGAGCAGGTCCATGGTGATGGAGGTGGCTTTACTGATGCTGGTGTAGCTCCATCAGGCAGGGCAGTGGGCCACCAATGATTCTGCTGGCTGTCTTGACCAATCTGTTGAGCTGCTGCAGCACCAGAACCAGGTGGTGAAGCCATCGGTCAGGATGCTTTCAGCGGTGTCCCTGTAGAAGGTGGTGAGATGCGTGGTGGGGAGGCCTGTTGTCCTGAGTCTGCGGAGGGAGTGAAGCCGCTGCTGAGCTTCTTTGAGGACTGCCGAGGTGTTAGTGGTTGGAGTGAGGTCATCATCAATGTGAACCCCCAACACACTGCTGACCTCCTTCACAGCAGTCCCATCGATGGTCAGTGGTGCATGATCCTGTTTGCCAGCCCTCCTGAAGTCGATAACAACCTCCCTGGTCCTGTCCACATTGAGGAAGAGGTTATGGGAACTGCACCATGAACTCAGCTGTTTCACTTCTTCCCTGTATGCAGACTGGCTGTTGTCCTTAATGACGCCCACCACTGTCGTGTCATCTGCACACTTCAGGATGTGGCTGCTGCAGAATCTGGCAGTGCAGTCCAAGGTGAGCAGCCGCTGATGCTGAGGGGAGCAAGTCGATGATCCTTCCATCCTCAGCCTCCTCCCCTAAGGTGGACATCAAGGTGTTCATCTGATATTTCTGCATTCTTTTATTCATGCCTTACGCTATTCTAAAGCACTCAAAGCGTCTTAGCCATTTCGGCCATTCGCCTGCTTTATGGAAATCAGACTTGCCTGATGGGACCAGTTGTATACAACTTATAGGAGGTGCCTGGTCTGCTTGGTCTGCCGAATCATCCATGTTTCACTGCCAACGTCTGTTACTCCCCACAGAAGTCTGGTGTCCCGCTAGCTCGTCTGGCTCGTTTTTTCTTTTTTTTCCGTTTTCTTCTTCACCCAAACAGTCTCGTGGAGGCGCACGCTTTCCTGTTGTCTTCTGTCAAAAATCCTCCGTACGTGCTTACGGGCTGTCTGCGACCTCGACATTTCGCCAGATGGACTTGCATGACACGTACCATTCTGCATGTAATCTGGACGCAGACGTAGGAGCCGTACGGCCAGTTGCGACCAAGGCTTAAGGTGTTGCCATTCAGGCTTAGTAATTCACCCACAGTACAGTAAGTATAGCCAAAAAATCATGTATGTTATTGGAAGATAGCCAAACTATCTGTCAATAGATGGAAGGCTGCATTGTTATGGAGTTGGAGTGGAAGGTTGGTCAGATGATGTATTGGGGGATGTGGAGGGTAGCGGGACAGATGGGGTGGTCTTATAACAGTTTAAGAGTACATGCACAAACACAAATACACAATCCTCAACATCTCACTCTGTCTTGTGCCCGAGCAAGCTGTCGCACTGTCAGTCAGCTCAGTTTGTTATAAGACTTCCATTCAAGTGTAAGTAATGTGTGAGGAGTGTCTGTGGTGTAGTTTTAAATAAAGCTCTCATCATATTCTCTGTTTCACCTGGGATTATGTAAGTGACTCCTGGCCTTCCCTTTCTCTGTTTGTCTCCCTCTCAGCCCCCGAGGTGATCAACTGTGAGCCTCTGAGTACGGCAGCAGATATGTGGTGAGCATCGGCACAAGATTCCAGATAATCCGAGCAACGATAGAATAACTGTTCATATTTGTCTTGCATTTGCTGTGTAGTAATGAAAAGATTTAAATCACGTGACTGTCTTTGTCCTGTTTCTTGTTCCTCCAGGAGCATCGGAGTAATTACCTACATACTGTAAGTGTTGTAGCCATTAAATATGTTATTGCACATATTTAATAAAGACATCTGCTTTTGACAGTATATTATGTGAATTTCCCCTCACTCACAATGTATTTTGAGCTTTAAAATTAACATCTCATTCACTGTTATTACTAAACTTAAGGTCTTTTACCAGAGATGTGATCAAAGAAAAACCTCAGATATCGATGTATCGTCGTCTCACTCCTGCTGTGTGCTCTCTGTCCTCAGATTGAGTGGTTTGTCACCATTCCAAGGGGACTCTAATGAAGAGACCCTGAGGAATATCATTGCGATGACGTATGACTTTGACGAGCGCTATTTCAGTACCACCAGCTCCATGGCCAAAGACTTCATCCAGAAACTCTTGGTGAAAAATCACAAGTATGTAGCACTGGTACAGTATCTGTTGCAGGCAATTTAATTTAAGATGTATTTAAGATGCATTAGGATTTCTGGAATAACTTACGGAAAGCTTGTTAATGTGACCCCTGTGACTCGTGCCGTGCTATGAATGAAATACGTCCATGAAGCATTTTTCAGACAGTGGATCTGGAACATCGCTGGCTTTGTCAATCCACTAAAGTGATGCCATTCTGTCTTTCAGAAATACAGTCGTGACTCGATAATTAACCCTTAACAATCCTAAACCTGCTATCCGACAGGTTTTTAGGAAAAAACAACAGAACTCATAAAAACAGCCTTAACATAGCGACAGCCTTGGATTCTGACTCCGACATGACATTTAATGTCACCAATCAGGATAACAGCGTATTATCTGACTGAACAATTCCACAGATTGGCTACGTTCACACTGTAGGACTTGATGCTCAATGAGGATTTCTTTGTGAGTTCCTTCACATTTTCAGTTAAATGCAACTTGTATGTGATCTGCTGTGTGAACTTCATACGACCCAAAAGTGTCCCGCATGCGCAGAAGAGGACACGACGACGTCACACGCAGCGAGCGTGCTCAGTGTTTACGGAAGGAAACATGGATGATAACGGTGAAACGTGTCTGCCACTCCCCCGCCGCCACCGATGGTGGAAACAGAAGTGTGAGCGCTAACTAAACTAGCATCAGCAGCCAAGTACTGCCTGTGTGTTCTGGACACTTCCACCCCGTCAGAGCGCTCCCCCGGGGTGGAAGTGTCCGGAACGTGCACAAGTGCACCGGTCAGTTAGGCTGAAATCCAGCGATGCATAGTGTTCTAACAACCCACTAGTTATTATAACAACTATGAACAATAATTAACAACTAATGAGCCTTCCAGCATCAAGCCCTCCTTGTATCTGGACCTCCGTCTTAACAATCCGACAGCCTTGCTATCCGACATAGAAGAAGGTTTTACATTTAGTGTGGGGTTATCGAGTCACGGCTGTAGTTAGGCAGAGATTAAAATCATAAGCAATATTTTACCCACGGACATTCCTATGATTTAATCCTTAACATTCTTTTAACATATCATGACATTAAAACGTCCCTTCAGACCCTGAAAGCATGCTTGAAAGAATCAGGAATGAGGAGATGGAGCAGCTTTTCTTCAACAGGTCCAGAGTGTTTTGTGGCGTTACTGTGGTTTTCACCTCCACATACCTGGCTGGAATGATGCCACTGAACAACTGTCTGATGATGCAAGTATTCAATAAACTCCAACAAACAATTGAAAGCGACAAATGCAGCTTCAGTTCCCGTTCTTCTTCTCGTCCCATTCCTGCCCCTCCTTTAGAAACGCTCTGTAATGCTTCTAAAGTCACTTATTGAAGAAAAGCCGCCCTTTTTCCTCAGTTCCAAATCTGTCAAGTGTGCTTTCAGTGAATGGACATTAACATCATGATAAGTTGAAAGAATCACAGCACATGAATGAACACAACAGAAACAGGACATGACATGGGAAAGGCTGCCAGATGATTAGATTGCACGTTATTTTTCACCATCAATGGGGAAACTCACATTGTTGCAGCAGCACAGATACAGGGAAGAGCACCAACAAGTGACAGAAAGAAAGGAGAACAAATAAACTAGAAATAGATATTATAAGGGCTGCAGGGTGGCGCAGTTGGTAGCACTGTTGCCTCGCAGCAAGAAGGTTGCCGGTTCGCATCCCGGTGGGGGTACCGGAATCTTTCTGCGTGGAGTTTGCATGTTCTCTCCGGGTTCTCCGGCTTCCTCCCACACAGTCCAAAAAACATGTTTAGGTTAATTGGTGATTCTAAATGTGTGAATGTGAGTGTGCTTGGTTGTCTGTCTCTACGTGTGGCCCTGCGATAGACCTGTGGCGACCTGTTCAGGGTGTCCTGCCTTTGCCCTAAGTCGGCTGGGATAGGCTCCAGCCCCCCCGCGACCCTAGTGAGGATTAAGCGGTGTATAGATAATGGATGGATAGATATTATAATAGATGGACTTGGGTTGTGTCCAATCACAGACGGGAAATGTACCAACCCGCCCCATTTGGTGAAATATTGTGTTTTCTAACATCTTAAGTTTTGTCTTTGTCTAATGTTGTTGTGTTTTTTGCACCCCACCTGCAGTTTATTTAGTTTGCAGTGAGAAATGTACTCAGACTATTCCACTTATTCAGAACGTTTTCCTGTTTGGCTGATTTGCTGTTCTTTCTTCTGCGTTGATGTTTTTTTTTTTAGTGACAGAATGACAGCGGAGGAGTGTCTGCTCCATCCATGGATTAAGGTTATTACAAGTTTTCTGTCATTTTATAGCCCATAAACATGCTTCATATGTTGACTACTGCTCAGTGTTACTACCTGTAATCAGTACTAATGTCGTTGTTTGTTTCAGCCCCTCACACGCAAACAGGCGGCCAATAGGAATCGATCCTCGATCAATATGAAGACTTTTAAGAAGTTCAACGCCAGAAGGAAATGGAAAGTGAGTCTGGATGTGTATGCTGATCTATTTAAAAGTGTATTCTGGGTTATTTCATGCCTTTTAAGATGAGGAACAAAAAGCAGCAGGGGTCATTGGCCATACTTAAACCAGTAAGTGTGTGGTACGCTCTGGAAACTATCACATCACCAGGATACCTACATTGATACAACTAAATATTACAGCCATTTTTAACAAGAAATAAGAATAACTGTTTATGTATGACCTGTTCACACTAGATGAACAGAAATAAAACCTCTGATGCTCCTCTGACTCCCTCTAGATGTCCTTCAACATGGTGTCAATATGCAACCGGCTGGTAAATCTGAAAATGTGTAAGGTCAGCTCAGAAGCAGATCCGCTACAGGTGAGGCCGCTTTCTGTTTGCTCAGTTCCCATATTGTGTATGAAAATGAAATCATCCTGTGAGTTAGTTTTTTTCTTTAGCATCATTTACAAATGGGTAACAAATTATTGGAAAACCCAACATAAGATGTTTTAATACGGTTGTGGGCCCACATGTGCCACCAGAACCCCATCAGTGCACTGTGGCATTGATTCTATAAGTCTAGAAAGTCCAAATCCCACAGCCGAGCCTCATGAGGTCCTGGACCCACATTCATGGAGGCCCTGGTAAAACAGCCGAGCATCAAGGAGGCCCTGGTCAAACTGCCGAGCATCGTGGAGGCAAACAGCCGAGCATCTTGACTGACTTCTCACCCATCCCTGGCTCGGCCATCACCCCTCCTTATCGAGTCAACACCCTTTCAGTTCCTGTTCCAGCCGATGCCTCGATAGTTCCTGTTCAAGTCGATGCTTCCTCTGTTCCTGTGTGTGGGCCCACCCTCTCATCTGTTCCCAAACCTGAGAGAGCCACCGTCTCTTCTGTTCTTGCATCTAACAGGGCTGCAGTCACGTGTTTCTGCTTCTGAAAGGGCCGTCAACAGAAAAGGTGTTGACCAGAAGGGGAACAGATGAGGCGTCGGCCGGAAAAGGAATGAATGAGGCGTCAGCTAGAACAAAAGGCAGTCTTAGCTGGAACTGGAACAGGAACATACGAGGTGTTGACCATGACGCTCAGCTGCTAAACCGGGACCTTCATGGTGTTCGGCTGCAGGAGACGGGCTGGGACCTCAGAGGTGCTGAGGAGCAGTGAGGCCTATGAGCTGTGGAGCTCTGTGGTGTGTCAATGGGAGCCATACTTCCTTCTGGAAGACTTTCCAGAAAGTAGCTCCTAGAAATGTCGGGGTGCAGATCAGGCAGGAAACTAGCTGGTTCAGCGTGAGCCTACTGGAACCGAGCAGTCAAGCTGCTTGCTGACAGAGGGACAGGCTGGATGCTAGCAGGCCGAAGGCTGGTAACGTGGTTATTGCTGTCTAATATTAAATAAATGTAAAGATTAGTTTGATGATCTGGAACATTTAAATGAGCGTAATCTGCAAAAACAGGAAAAAACAACAGGAAGGGGGCAAGTCCTTGTTCACAGCCTGTATATTAGTCTGGATGGTCTACCTCTAACACACATCGTCTGCTTTATCAGACACAACTGTACAAACAGTTCAGAAGTGTAAAATCCAGCTGTGATGATGTTTTTCTGCAGAGACAATGTGAAAGCGACGTGGAGGACACAGAGAGCAAGCCTGCCTCTCTGCTGCGCCGAAGACTCAGCAGCAGCTCCTAGAATCACAGCAGACACTGCTCGTCTATGGAGGGGTGTTTATGAATGATCCTCAGAGATGTTTGTGTGGCGTCTCTGGATGGTTCAGTGTTTGGAACACTTATCATGAATGTAAGAATGTGTGGATGGGTGATGATGTGGGAGAACTCTGGATAGACCTGTATTTCTTATATTCCTAAGATGTCCTATTGAGCTTCTCTACTGAACCCAAAAACTCATTTTTGCCTTTTTCTTTAATCCTTGAGTCGAATGTTTTTATTGTCAAATGCAGATTTGTAGACTTATAAAATGCAGCTGGATTAGAATTGCCTTATATGCTATGTTGATGGTCAATAAAGTTATTTAAGAGAATAAAGACACACTTTATATTCACCAGGGTTCATACAGCTACTGCAGGCACGTTCAGCACACCTAAACTAAGAAATCCTCAATCCAAGGTCTTTCTGACACTTCACACATTCAGAGGTTGAAGGGTTAGCTACAGCATGTTCCCCTGGTCTGGGACACAAGATTAGAACTTCTCGTAGACTAATTGTAGCAACTGGACCTGCTTCCTACTGGCTTCTCTCCACTGGCTCCCTGTCCGGTTAAGAATAGATTTTAAGGTTTTACTGATCACTGTAGATCCTCGGGTGGGTTCCTCCTGATCGCTCCAAAGGTGACCAGGCCTTTTCTGTGAGGGCCCCTTGGCTTTGGAACCACCTAGCTGAGGAAATAAGGCCCGCAGATTCAGTATCTTCTTTTAAATCACTCATTAAAACGCACTTTTATAGACTGGCTTTTGTTCTCTTTTATTTCTCTTTTAGATTTTCTTCTCCCTTTATATCAGTACCACCTGCTGTCCGTCTCTCTTTTCTCTTTTCCTTAATCTACTTTTATCTTCAGCTTTTATCTTAACTCCCCTCTGTGATGTCGTCTTTTTAATCAGTTTTACTAGTTTTATTATCATACACCTTCCAATAGTGACCCAGCCTGCTGTGTTTCATTTTTATTGTGTGTATTTTTGTATTTTTTTGAGTGTTTGCCGGCACTTTTTATTCACATTGTTGTTTTCTTGTGTCGCCTCATCTCACTGTGTGTTGTATTTCTATATCATGTAAAAGCACTTTGTCAATTCTGTTCTTAAAGGTGCTACACAAATAAAGTTTATTATATTAATGTTATTATTATTATTATTATTATTATTATTATTATTATTATTATATGCAAATGTAAAGAAGAAATCAAATCAAACAAATAAGTGATATTACATCTAAACTGTTTAAAACTTCACATAAGAGCAAATACCTTACTGTTACACTTAGAAGTAATGCAATCGCTGTCAAGTGATGCAATTATGCACAAGTTTTGGTCTGAAGATAGTGACCTTTTCACTTTCTTTGCACCCAGCAATTCAAACTTCAAAATGGTTTTGGGCTCGATTATAACTAGTTTTCATGAAGCTGAACTCCACTACATGTGTCACCAGGTGGAGACAAACAGTCTCCTTACATCACCTCTTGGCCATTTGTGAGCTGGTTTGTGAACTAACGTTGACTCCACTCAGGTGTCAAACATTTATAAAGCATACAGGTACTACTGCAGGCAGGGCGTTGAGAGGGTTCTACACAGTTCTGTCCCTGTTAATGCAAACCTATTCACACTGAAGCAGAAATTAGACACTTTAATGTCGATTCATTCATTTTAGAATAATCTTCTAGTCCTAAACTACAGAGGATGTGGAGGCAGCAGAAGTCCCTCCAGCCTGACAGTTGAGTGTACAGGTGGGTGTGTCCAGCCAGTACACACTGTGGTGCTACAGTCGGTGATATATAAAGCCCACCTGCAGCAGGTCAGTCACTCATCAGTCAGTGGCAGCAGCGTCCAGACCATCCAGGTGAAGTCATGCTCCGTCCTACCTGCGCGCTCCAGCTCCTCGCGCTCCTGCTGCTGCTGCGCACGAGCAGCTCAGCTGTCCACAATAACGGCACCGAGTCGGTCAGTCCTCAGCCGGTCCCGGACACCTCGGACCAGCCAGCTGATGAAAACACGAACCAGGCCAGGAACGGCGGGAGACGGGTCGCCGGCGCTGTGCGTAACGGTAAGAACACGACCCACACACCGTGGTTCTGGTGGGATTCTACAGCTGGACGTGATGTTTGATGGATGTCTATCTATGATGATTGGTGTCCAAATGGAAACATCTCCTTTAGTGTAGTGATGTGCAGAGCTGTGGCAGTTGATAGATAGATAGATAGATAGATAGATAGATAGATAGATAGATAGATAGATGTGAGAGGAATCCTCCATGGCTTCAAACTACTTGATATGTTCATCTTCTACGACCTCTCACTCCTCTTTTTGTCTCCATGATAATGAACATAAAAGTTAGATAATGGTTGTCGAACAGTACCTACCAGCAAACATCTTATTTATTTATCCTTGGTAAACAAGTGAACAAACACTGAAGACCTCCACCTCCTGCTGGTCATGTAGACCAAACAACATATTAAATACTTTATACGTTGAGATTTTAGGCAGTTTTTTTTGGCACAGCAGCGATTCAAAGAGCTTCACAGATTACATACATGAACACCGGTTACATAATAACGTCACTAGGATCATCTGTGAATGCATGTTTAATGGGATGGCACCTGACTTTCTGGAAGCAAATCCATCTCAGTCCTTTACAGGATCAAACAGGTTACTTCACTGATTGTTAACTCGTGCAGAGATGAGAAACTGAGTGGGCATTTAGAACCAGACAGGGTTATCAACAACAAGATGAATCTGTATAAGATGATCCCGTGTTGGGGAGAGTTCTCCTTCTCTGGCTGTCAATGTAAGCATGTGTTTAGTATTTTTTAAAAGCGGTACCCCTCCAGCTGATTAACATTTGGTGGGATTATGAGAGACAGATAAGAAATAAATGAATCTTTAAAGCCCAAGGTTGAGTCGTATTCCCGTATTCTGTACATGTAATTCCATTTTAATGTCATAGAGCCGGACCAGAGCCAGGTGGACTGCAGGGAGCTGAGGTCCACAAAGTACATCTCTGACGGCCAGTGCATCAGCGTCAACCCCATCAAGGAGCTGGTGTGTGCTGGAGAGTGTCTGCCGGCCCACCTGCTGCCCAACTGGATCGGGGGCGGAGGCTACAGCGGGAGGTACTGGAGCCGCCGCGACGCTCAGGAGTGGCGCTGCGTCATCGACCGGACCAGGACCCAGCGAATTCGGCTGCTGTGCAAAGACGGCAGCACGAGGACCTACAAGATAACCGTGGTGACCTCCTGCAAGTGCAAACGCTACACCAGGCAGCAGAACGACTCAGAGCACAAGCAGACGCCGGCCCACAGCAGCAGCAGACAGAACAAAAACCAGGGCAAGCCTGGACCCCCTCAGGGGACGGTCGGGACGCCGTCTGACAATTAAAACCCATCTACAGTTATCACTAGCAGCCTCCTGCAGCCACTCCTGCCTGCACCATGAATCCTATGGTTGAATTACAAGTGTGTCAATAGTAAGCAAATATTTAAGGGCCAGGCTAGAAGTAAATAAGACGAAGAGCAAAGACTGGTCACTAAATTTAGATTATTTTTAAACAGAAAGTTGTTATAAAGTGAGTCTATGGCCCAAAACTCAGTTCAGCATTTAGACGAATGAAATGTTTAGAGTGATATCAGTTCTGTGTTGGTCTTGAACACTACCGAAGCTTTTCCACCGTGCTCCTACACCATCTCTTTAAAAAGCCCACATACTGTGAAATACAAACATGTACCTGGTTCTGCCTAAGGAGCATTCTGTAGACTTGTTTGGCTTGAATGTCACAAATGTTCATTTATAAAAAACAGTCCTGAACTTCAGCGGACAGTCTGGACAACATCTCTAGTTCAACACGTGGTAACTGGTTTATTCAGTAGGTACATACACATTAAACAAAGATGTATGACGACTGCTGGAGCTGGGACTTCTATTGATGAACAACACCAGCTATCCACTCAATCAAAACGAGCAACTCTGCTGTGATGTCAAGACCTCAGAAGCTCAAGAGATAGTTCCAGCATAAAATAAAACAATAAGATCTATTCTAAAATGCAGCTAATGGCCAGTTCTAACAATGGTGTCGTTTAGGAAATCCCAAATATGCTGTTCAGCAAATAGAACTGTGGCGTTGGCATTAGTAATGGTAAGAGTTTCCCTGTCGAGAAAAATGGAGGAAAGGTAGATGTTGTTCCAATTCCATTCCAAAAGTGGAGAACCACAACAGCAGAACAAACACTGATTCTCACCAAAATGTGGCGTAAACTTAAAAATGTCCCATCTGCTAAAACCTACTGGTCCTAAACGTGACTGGACACTGGAGTCTGCGTTTTCAGGTGTTAGCTGAGCTCAGGTTATTTACACATTATGGGTCAAAGTGCAGCCGTGAGGCAGGCTCTGATTGGCTGACCTTTCAGCTTTTTTCCAAAATGGAATGGAATTTGAACCATTTTTTTTATTTATTTATTTTTTTTAATACACCCCATCTCTCTGTTTTGTGTGAACTCATGATTATATTATCACTGTTTTTAAACGTGGTGGTCACAGTTGTAATTACTGGCTGGTTCACAGGGTTTTGGGGGTTTTGAGTTAATGAACCTTTATGGACTCGCATGGACTGGTCCGGACAAGTGATGGGCACAGAACTGTAGTTTACTAACACATTATATATGTTGTATAGTAAGATTGGATGTTTTGCTGTAGAACAAACAAAATATATCATCAGTAGTTATTTTACATTCAGGCAACTTACCAGATTAGTTCATTTACAACATTTTCTGATGTTGCTAAAAACCGTTTCGTTAAACATATTTTCAAGTGTTTGTTCTGAAACTGCCCAGAGATGTGATGGAGATCACAGGGCCAAAGCAGTATGTAGGGTATGTCGCCTGAAAGCCCCCCCAGCACAAGGACTCACAGAACAGACCCACTGCCAACATAATGGTGGAACTAAAGGCATTGTGTAATACAGTAACATGAAACAGGCTGTCGATACAGGAACGTTTGGCTCCTGTTAAAAGGAAATATCTCCACAGGTCTCAGTTTGGGGACTTGGCATCACAAATGGCAGGTAGTTTAGCTGTAGAGCATTTTAATGTATAAATATTAGAAAACATCTATTAAGTATTTCAGTGCAGATGTAGGATACGAGACATGCTGAACATGTTACTATAATGTATTCACACCTTTCCATTAAAGAAAAGGCAAAAGTCACGATAGACACTCAAAAAACTAAAAACTGAAAAAAGTAATAATAAATAAAAATTTGCTAAATTAGAATTTAGTGAAAAAAGATGTTGCTTTTGATTGTGGTTGAAAAGAATAATTTAGAAAAAAAAACAACAACTGACCAATGAGAGGCCTTTGCTGATGAACAGTGGTCCAGAATACCTGTCAACAGGTGCAGAAGTCTGACTGAGAGTTACAGGAAACACCTGATGGCAGTGATTGGCTCAAAGGATTGTTCAGCTAAATAGTAGTTCACAGGTCCCATCATGCTGGTTTTCTTTCTTTTTAAATATTTCTGTTGAACCACAATTCAAAAGCAACGTCATGATGTTCATTATTTTTTAATTTATTATTACTTTTGTCAATTTCAACTTATTTCAGTGTTTTTTTCCTTCTCTAATGGGAGGCTATGAATACATCTGACTGTATGATCAATAAACGTTTCAAATGTGAAGTTAGATTTGTATAATATAGAATAACACCTTTCATTAATGTACAATATGTGGACAAAGTTTTAAAGGGTTTTCAGAGTGGATAGTGTGTAATCTATTTTTGTACTAGCAGGTTCTTTTTTTATACTTTTGTCTTTGCCTGAAATAGTGAGAATTGTTTAAAAGGCTGTGGTTGTGACATAATGCTGCTGGCATGCCAGATAAGAAACAGGATCTCCTCAACAACAGAGGCGCTAGTCAGCGATGCCTCTCTTTCCAACAGCTCCCATGCTCGGTCTCATTGTACAGGGGATACCTTCAGCTCCAGGCTAGTAGGGCCTGTTCCAGCTGTGGAAACATGTTAAGACCCTTTGTCTCTATTCAATCCTCCCCCCTGAGAACTGTCTGCAAAGGTAGGCAGTGAAAAGAGTCACCTGCACTGGACGACAACAGGATGTTTAACTAGTGTTATGGGATTGATGTTCCTTTATCTGTTATATCCTGTCGGTGGAGTGAAGGTACTTCATAACAACATCCAGCGTAGGAATGTTGATCAGCAGGTTGACGGAAAAGTCGACCTGTTTAATAGGATTTGTGTGTATTTGGTGTAGAAAATAAGTTGGAAATAAATATATTAACTCAAATACACCAGACTTTTCGTTTTATTGTACAAAACTGAAAAATTTAATATTGCATGAGTCCACACCTTGATAATGATATACAAACATACATTAACCCACCAATATACGCCACCCATATAAGGTAGAGCACTGGAGTTTAGCTTATAGACGGTAAAGCTCAACTCCCTGATACCACAACACTGATTTACAGATACATCCATCCATCATCTCTACACCTTCATCCTCACTAGGGTGGTGGGGGGCTGGAGTCTATCCCAGCTGACTCAGGGTGAAGGCAGGTTCACCTGGACAGGTAACCAGTCTATCACAGGGCTACACTTAGAGACAGACAACCAAGCACACTCACATTCACACCCGAGGACAATTTAGAATCACCAATTAACCTCAGCATGTTTCTGGACTGTGGGGGGAAGCCGGAGAACCCAGAGAGAACCCACGCTACACGGAGAGAACATGGAGACTCCACGCAGGAAGATCCCGGGTGTCCTCACCGGGACGCCAACCGGCAACCTTCTAGCCGTGAGGTGATTGTGCTAGCCACCAAGACACCTTGCAGCCCGATATACAGATACACAGATACAGTTGTTATGGCTGTTGTCTGAGCAGATTGTTCAATATTTTAACATCCAGCAGATACAGAGCAACATTAGCATCATACTGGGGTCATGTCTGAATATAAGATCAATAATCACCATCCTGTAGCTCTAAGGCAAACATCTAGCTCTTGCTATATGCTCCACCATGTTACTCGTCTCAAACTGTGTCTGTCTGCTGCTAGATATGATTTCTGGAGCCGATCCTAGCTGACATCAGGTAGGGAACACCACGGACAGGTCACCAGTCAATAACAGGGCTGACATAGAGAGACAGGAAGTGACCAGCCATTCACACTTCTTTCCAGTTCAGAATCACCAACAAACCAGGCCTCCATGTCTTTATACTGTGGGAGAAAACTGTATCACCAAGAGAAACATCCAAACTCCACATGGAGAGGGTCCATCCAAGCAACAGGTTTGAACCCAGAATGTTGTCTTTGTGAAGCGGCAGTACTAACCATAGACATCCATGGTTCTAACCACTACACCACCAGTGTACTCTGCTCTGCCTCCCATTCTGGTTCTGGAGACTCTGGAACCACCAGTAGGCCTGCAGTCTGACAGCGAAGGGTTCTGTTAGGATGATACGGTACCATAAGGTCTGTAAGGTCACATGGAGCTGCTCATTCAGAGTTTATATGTTAGAAACAGGATTTTAAATTCTATCCTGGATTTTACAGAGAGCCACTGAAGAGAAGCTGATACAGGAGAAATATGATCTGGTACTGGTTCCTGTCAGAACCCTGCTGCAGCATGTTGGATCAGCTGGAGGTTTCTGAGAGAGTTACTGGAACATCCTGATAGTAAGGAACTACAGTAGTCCAGTCTAGAAGCTCTAAATGATGGACTAGTTTCTCAGCATCATTCTGAGACAGGATGCTCCTGATTTTTACAGTATTACGTAGATGAAAGAAGGCCGTCCTACAGACTGGTTTTATATGGCTGTTGAACGTCATGTCCTGGTCAAAAATGACTCCAAGGTTCTTTACAGTAGAACTGGAGGCCAAGGCGATGCCATGTAGAGCAGCTATCTGGTTTCATCGTGTATTTCTGAGGTGTTCAGGGCCAAACACAATAACATTACAGAAATTAGAGGTCATCCAGGCCTGTATGTCCTTCAGACATGTCTGGAATCGGACCAGCTGATTGGTTTCATTTGGCTTCATAGATAAATATAACTGGGTGTCGTCTGCATAACAGTGGAAATGTCTGCAGTGCTTCCTAATAATACTGCCTAAAGGGAGCATGTACAAGGTAAATAACATAGGTCCTAACATGGAGCCCTGTGGAACTCCATAACTAACTCTACTGCGGGTGGAAGAATCATCATTAACATGAACAAACTGGAACCTATCTGATAAATATGATTTAAACCAGTTTAGTGCAGTTCCTCTGAGCCCAGTTAAACATTCTAGTCTCTGTAATCAGATGCTGTGATCCACTGGATCAGATGTAGCACTGAGATCCATTTAGTTCGCTGTTAGACTCAGTTATCTTCTCCCAAAGTGTCAATCAACAAACTCATAGTTTTAACCCTTGATCTTGTATTAATTTGGTTAAGGTTTTTATGTACAGCGCTTCTATTGGTTTGCTTTGACATTTCTATTTTACCTTCAACATCTTCATGCACACTTCTCCACGTACCCATGCTCTCGCGTGTATCACTGATCTTACAGACGTTTTCACACCTTGTTTCATTAATTAGCAGCATACAAAGTGTGCCTCTTTGCTTAATCAGGGCTATGAAACATCCCCTAAAAGCATCTCTTAACCGCAGGAGGACAATGCTTTATCTGAGCTGAGCAGACATCCTGTCAAACCCTGGTATCAGACATTTATAGAGAACTGTCATTCTTTGAATACGCTAAACATATTTCAATTTGCAGAGTTCTCACATAGCTGAATGGTGGAATTACAATGCAGTCATTGATGCTGTTGAAGTGTCAGGAAGTTGTGTGGTAACCATCTAGACCAGAGCAAGCAGCAAATAATCATGAAACAATGCTGTGCCACTGTTAGGTCACAGCCACAATAAAGCCATCAAACCTGAAGAGTTAAGCTTCTTCTTTCCGATATTATGAATCATATCAGTGGCATTTTTCATATTCTATACATCAAAGAGAGGGTGGTAGCCACATCAAAAGCTCCAGAAATTCATCTCCTTCAAACATGAGATGTATAAAGACCAAAATAAAATCACACAATGGTCCATTTTGTTGGATGTCCCGAGGCCTGGAGCCGTGAAAGGTGCTCACTGCTTAATGTCTGCGTGTTCTGTAGTCAATAGCCTGAAATAGTCAAAGAGAGTTTAATCTCTGTGCTGGGGGACACACCTGTTTCTTATTCAGGCAGGATGTAAGCTAAGGATGCCCTCACAGCCACAATACTGAGAAAACCCTGGCAGACAAAGACGCTGTGTGTTTCAGTCACATCGGGATCACATGGCCTCACCGTCGAGGAGTTCCAGTTATGCTGCTATCGCTGCTGAGGCTGAAACAGAGAATACAAAAGGAGAAGAAACATGTTTTTAAACCATTTCTACTGCACATTGCCGTCTTTTTACGTTGTAGTTATTCAGGTATCATTACGATGCATGCTCTGTTGAGCAGGTTCACATAATTATTAAAGATATCCACACTGTGCAAGCTGTTTGTAACGTATGTGAGATTTCTACGAGGTGGGAGTGTTACTTTCTGCCATTTAGCTTTACCTAAAACACAAAAAGAAAAACAAGAATTTATGTATAGATAACTACAGTGAACAGACTGGTGCTGGGCAGGTAGAGGTTTACCAGACTCTGCACTGGAGACTCAATTTATTAAATTAAATTTGTTATGTTTTCACTTGGGCTGCAGGTGGCTCAGTGATTAGGACCATCGCCTCACAGCTAGAAGGTCGCCGGATGGCGTCCCGATGAGGACACCCAGGATCTTCCTGCGGTAGTAGTTCCTGAGGTTAATTGGTGATTCTAAATTGTCCGTGGGTGTGAATGTGAGTGTGCTTGGTTGTCTGTCTCTAAGTGTAGCCCTGTGATAGACTGGTTACCTGTCCAGGTGAACCTGCCTTCACCCTGAGTCAGCTGGGATAGACTCCAGCCCCCCACCACCCCTAGTGAGGATTAAGCGGTGTATAGATAATGGATGGATGGATGGATGTTTTCACTTACAGTATGGATGATGACAAATTAATGCACATAAACCACAACTCCAGTGTTTTGTTGTGAATCTGTGAGTTATGAAATGAAGAGATGTATTACAGGAACAAAGAGCGAACTTTATTACAGATAAATTAAAAGCATGGGGAGCTGGTGAAAGTAAACAACAACAAAACAAAAAATCCGGAAAGGCAACAACAGCACTGCATGCACTGAAGCAAGAAATAAACAAAAAATCTCAAAAACTAAACGTACAAACTGGAGGCAGGTGAACAGAAGGTGTAATATCAGGGAGATGACTTGAGGTCTACACAGACAGAGAAACAGGAACAAAGAGGAAAACCCAGGGATGAGTCACAAACCACAACAAATCCAGAAACCATGACTCATGAGTGCAAGCGTCAAAGTGAAGGACTCGCTGTAATAATCTGTATGATGTGACACAGCAATATTCTAAATTGCTGGTTCAGTTTAACTGATGTATGGAAAGCAAATGTTTTGTGCAGATGTCTTGAATCGATGAAACACGTCTCCGATAAGCTTGTCTGAATTCCAGAAAGGTTAAGCAACAAAAAAAAACACACAAAAAAATGAATGGAGCATAAAATCATATTTTTCATTCTGTGAAAAGACTTTTTGTTTGTCTCCCGGTTAGCACCAATCTAATTCAACCTTTACCCTCAAACAAAGACTAGTACTGAAGATAAGAGAAGCACAAAGCTGCCATCTAGTGTCACAACTGGAGTAATGAAGAGAAACCTCAAGCATACTGACTACCAGTAAAAAGTTTGGACAAAGACACTTGTGGAAGGCTTTTCTTTATTTTACTCTTTTTTTTTGTTTTTTACAGTCGAGAGCTAAACTGAGAACATCACATCTACAACAGAACATATACAGAATTGTGTTTTGAGAAAAAAAAAAAAAGCTAAATAAACGTAGAACACTGTAGAGTAGTGTTGTCTTTGGTCTGGATGACAGCTTTGACCACTTGGTAACATCTCAACCTCCTTCATCAGGTCATCACCTGCTGAGCCTTGACAAAATCTGACTGGTGGGATTTTTTCCTTCTCAATAAGACAATTGTTGTGTTATGTCAGAGTAGTGTCAGGGTTAGAGTCCTGTTCAGCTACTGGAAGATACAAAGGTCAGTCAGCTCAGAAGATTACCTGAACTTTGAAAGTTCCTTAAAGTCCAGCCACAAAAATAATCAAGTGCTGTAAAGAATCCGGCTCTTATGAGGAAAGAAAGACCAGCAGGTCTGAGATCAACAGTAAATGGTGCCTCACATCCGTACAGTTCAGAGTTTAGTAGCAGCAGGACAACACAGCAGAAACACATCACTTTTAAACTTGGTACATATACCTGTATTAAAGCTTTATTAATCTGAAATGGTCAGTAGTCACTACTGGTTTATCAGGTAAAACAACTGGGAGTGATCTGACATCCTTCAATCCTGTGATGTTGTTCGATTAACTGACATGGATATTACAAAGACATGTCAAAAAAGATAAAAAAATAAACATCACTACATAAACCACAGCCTTTCCAAGACCACACTGTTAAGGTTACATGATAAGATACTGCCACCTTCACACAACTATGTTTCTGTAGTTCAGTTCCAGAAACAGATATTATTTTATGAATACAATCAGTTTGTAATTCATGAATTATTATCGTTTGATCCGACACGCAGGACTGAAAGTTGTTGTGATCGGCAAAAACAGCCTCTAAACAACACACAGCTTCTCATCAGGTTAAAGCAAAGTCTCCTCCAAGAAGTCCGCATGAATGCCTCTAAGGGATCACAAACGTATAAAAACAGCTGATATGTACAGCCCACACAGTAGCACATGTTTTATTCCTCAGGCTCTGATGTCATTCAGTTTGAAGTAAAATAATGGATATTTCTGGTCTCAGCATTAACTTCAGTGGTTTACATCAATATAGAAAGAAATGTGTTGGAGTTCTAGTTATGCTGACACACAATGTAAGGGTTTAACAGGATTTATCAAGAAATGTTTATCGGGTCGCTGTATGCAGGTACAGAGCCGCCAAACTGTCTGTCAGGGAGCAAGGAGTAGAAAGTTGTCAGCATGAAGAGGAAAATAATTAGGTTCAGAAAAAGCAGGTTGCGAGTTTGCACCAGGGCTTGTGTGTGAGCTGAAAACTATCTGTATGGTCAAGAAAAAACAGGCAAGTCAGTAACGCTCTCAGTGATCAGGGGAAGACCTGAGGACCAAGAATTCAGAGGATTCAGCACAAGAAGCAGACCTTTGGTAAACCTCAAAAACAGGCTGTATTCAACAAACCACACAGTTAGTAGAAAAGGCAAAAAGTGTGGACGAAAAAGGAACAACTCATCCAGCAGCTTGATTATCAAACACGGTGTCCCTCTGGTGTGGTCTGGAGACGTATAACTGACGAACTGGTGTTTGTTGATGCTTTCACTGCTGACAGAAGCAGCAGGATGTCAGCGAGACCCCACATGTGCTGAAGCTCCCTGCACAAGGAAGATACCGAGTGTCTGCTGTTGTCTGCAGATACAAGACTTCAGGTACTCACTGATGGAGTCTCCATGTTCTCCCCGTGCAGCGTGGGTTCTCTC